CCTTGCGTCCACACAGCTCTCCCGGGGCCGATAACATTCACCCGAAAACATTACAGGTAGCTGCCATCCACTTGGCCGAACCACTAGCTGCATTTTTTCAGCGCTGTTTCGATGAGAACATCGTACCTTCGAGGTGGAAACAAGGTGTAATAACGCCCATATACAAAGCAGGAAGTCGATCGGATCCTGTCAATTACCGCCCCGTAACGCTTCTGCCTGTGATCGGCAAAGTCATGGAAGCGGTGATAGCAGATGCGTTAATGGGATACTTGGAAAACTACGGCATACTTGCGCCAGAACAGCATGGGTTTCGTCAACATCGTTCATGTACGACGAATCTGCTGATAGCTCGTGACAACTGGACCGAGACTGTCGATGAGGGAACAGGAGTCGATGTTGTATTCTTGGACTTTTCGAAAGCCTTCGATCGCCTGGATCATCGAATCCTGCTCATTAAACTCCAACAGTACGGTATCGGAGACCCGTTGTTAGGATGGATCGGTAACTTTCTCTCTGAACGGCAGTTAGTGGTTAGAGTTCGATCATCCTTTTCCGATCCGATTCGAGTGGGATGCGGCGTACCGCAGGGTTCGGTACTTGGGCCTCGTTTGTTCCTGCTTTTCATTAACGATCTAGTAAGAGTTATTACGTCGAAATTCTTACTCTTCGCGGACGACCTCAAGGTTTGTCGGGCGATAAAACGATCGGACGACCATGAAGTCCTACAGCGTGACTTGAATGAGGCCTGGAATTGGTCGGTGAGAAACGCCCTGCCGTTTAATGTGGACAAATGTCGCGTTGTTCATATCCGCCATCGACAAGTCCACGTCTACAAGCTTGGGGCACACGATCTGAAGACCACCACTCAGGAACGCGACTTGGGTGTGCTGGTACAGGAAGACCTCGGGTGTTCCAAACAGTCAGATTCCGCTTCTAAAAGGGGCAACCAGCACGTTGGACTCCTGCGAAGAGCATTCGGAATTTTGGATCCATCCATCTTCTCTTTGATGCTGAATGCCTACGTGCGTCCTCACGTCGAATATGCAATCCAGGCCTGGCAACCCTGGCTAAAACGTGACCTTGCAGCGCTTGAGACCCCACAGCGTCGAGCAACGAAAATCGTCAAGGGCTTGCGCCACACTCCTTACGAGGAACGACTGGAGATACTCGGAGTGTTCAGCGGACGGTACCGGCGACTTCGTGGAGACCTCATACTAGTGTACCAGATATTGAGCGATCCCAGTCACGTATGCCGCCACCTCTTGAAGCTCAGCCCGAACACTAACCTTCGCGGTAACAGTTTAAAGCTGAGCCAACAGTACAGTCGTCTAGACTGTCGGAAAACCTATTTCTCCCTCCGGGTCTGCGGGCCCTGGAACGCCCTTCCAAACTCAGTAGTTTGTGCCCCCACATTAGATACGTTTAAAAAACGATTGGACGTCGCACTGAGCGCCCTGCGCTTTGTTTTATGAAGGAAAACGCTTGTATATATTTAGGCTGACCAGCCTCTTTGGATTTTTACCCCAAATTCACGGTCGTAAATCTGTGCGAACCGGTGAGTACTCCATTTTTATTTGCTACCATCACCAACGATAACAATTTCTTTCGTACCACTTTATCCCCCTAAAACTGTTATACTTCTGCCTTTTATCTCACTGACACTCCTTACTTCAACCACTTATGTGGTTTGTCAATCTGTTAGTATTTCTATTGCCAACCTGCGGGACTCGTTAAGTGTATGCTTTTTTACCCGTCATATACCATTGTTCCATTGCCTCAGCAGTCAGCCGTAGGGTTGCGAATCACAAACCGTTTCTAATGATTTCGACATTTTGCGAGTCAATTCCATGCCCTGAGTCTTCCCATCTGCGTGGAGTGAGTCATTCAAATGCACCCCTGTCGAGTAGACCGTTTGACGCTTCTGGTAAATCATCCTTATTCTTTCTTCGTTTAATACCCTTCGGATTGGCTCTGAAGTTTCCCCTTTATAAGGACATCCAAAACATTGGCTGATCGGATCAATACTATCACAACACTTTGCACTGTGAAGGTGCAAACGCATGCCGAGGTGTGCAGTGTTACACGTCAGTCGAATCAGTTTGTTTACATAGCCCTTGGGTCAGACCCAAAGTGGGCTCTATCGTCGGCGTACATAAGGTTTGTCAGTCGGTCACCTGGCAGAACTTCAAGTACCATACCTAGGTACTTCACTGATGTAGCAGAGTGCAATCCATCACTGTCACTAAGCTGCTTGGGGCACTGTGCAGGGAGCTGCTCGTACCTGGCTCCTATGTGTCGCGAAAACAGTGTACTATGACAATGAGATGCATTAAGAGACAGATGACGAGCTTCGGACCAATTATTAAAGTCATTCGGATGATTTCGCAACCTCAGAGAATAATCGGCGTTTCGATGATTGATACCCAGGACGATATCGTCAGTACATTTTATTAAGGTAGGTTCTGCGTAGGTTACTACCGAGCTGATGTAAGTAGGTTCAAGTGGAGACAGTGCTCTTCACAAAATATCGATCCACCTCATGGAATAGTCTCATGTAAATAATTATGTTTCTCTTTTGACCCTGACGTATCCAAGTATTGTGACAACTTGACTAGCTATCTAAATTTCTGTTTTGACATCTGCTGTCCTTGAACGACGCTCAACGTCCGCGCGGACAGGTTTTCCTCCCCCATCTGAAGAGGCTGCGTCGACTTAAGGAGAGCGTTTACAGAAAAATACGGCATCTCAGTGATGTCTCACTGTTCGTGCCAAGAAAGAGCTACGCCGTCTCCACCAAGTGTATATCTAGTCTATCCTTGGGAACTGCAGCATCACACCGGTATCAAGAAAACGGTCCAACAAATGTTGATCTGTTGCCCAGAAGCTTCACGAAAAGCATTCTTGAAATGATACTGTACCAAACCCGCTCGAATGACCCCCTTAAAACACTTATCGTAGTTCGAGATCTACTGTAGATGCAGTGGCCCGCCTTGTACATTCTACATTGTCATCACTTGACAACATAGACAGATAAACTCATACATGTTTCCTTGAGTATAACAACGCATTCTGTTATGGAAACCGTGAAATGCTGCCGAAAGATCTACTCATTCATCCCTCCCTCATCCAATTGCTCAGTGATTATTTTACTGGACGCACTCAGATTACACGAGTCAGTGGCAAATGCTCCTACCCACTAAGCACCAACTTGGGTATTCTTCAAGGAGAAATTCTGTCGCCTTATCACTTTCTACTTATTGATTGATCATTGTTGACTTTAACCCATTTGTGCTCCGACTGCGAGTGGCTGGATCGTGCTACGTTCTGGGCTGGTATGGAATTCCCTCTCCTAGCCCATTCACTGTTATTTCTGACGCGTGTTTGTATGTTTCTTTGACGTGCCCGCAACACTTATGCTGTAATCAAATCTTGAAGGGTAATCAACCACCAACCTCTTATTGGAGTTTGATAAAGTCTTGGATTTGCGGCGTCTCAACTTTGAGACTCATTTCCAACTTCTTTCTTATTCCTCTCAGACCCATAGTGGGGATGTTGATTCTTTTGAGCCATGTTTCGTTTTTCTCGTATCTTTCCTGATTGAATTGCATTTTGGCGAAGGAAACTAATATGAATGTGTTCATTGCATGCTGGAGTTTTTGCGCAAAAGATTTCAAGTAGGCTGAATGCTGAGTGATTGGGAAAGTGTTCACGATTGAAATTTGCCGGTGGCCGAGTTTTCTGCACACGTGGCTTGCAGTTATAATGTCATTGGTTCGAATCCGCGTAGAAACGGGCTTCCTCGCCGTATTCTCAGGCCACGCGCGATCGGTGGTGGTCGCACGGCAGCTAAACTGCGTTACGGCGTACAGCTGATGATTTACTTTGTTTTTTTTTCATTGTTGGAGTTCGGAGTCCCACTTGTGTGTCTGGATTGTTGTGTAATTTCAATTTGGACAGTAATTTACCGCGAAGCAAACATCTGTCGTTCCAAGCAGCGGACCACATCCAATGCAATGTTCCCGGTGTTACCGTTCTCCATTATTTCTAGTGGGGACGACTGGCTTCCATGGAGCATGTGTTTGCTACATATACAAAATACACCATAGAATTTCATTTGAACTCACTTGGCGCTACTTAAATTCCTTGTTCTCACAACCTTTCTGCAGTTCATTAATTTCAAATGGACGTGTTCTTCATTTGTGGGTAGTCACAGTGGTAAACTCGTAAGTGTGCTGCATGCTTAAGGTTGTCTAAGTAGTAAGATCCTTGCTATCATCTGAGGTAGTGGAAAAGGTGGCTGTGGATGAGGACATCATGTGCGAGTGTAGCATCGGTCCTGTTAAAATTTAGACCGCCTTGTTTGCAACTTTTTTTTACCGTGAGCAATATGCGGACGGCATTTGCCATTTTTACTAGCTCTCAACACGTAAGTGTAAGCGTATTTGTCACACTGGACCGGGATGCTATTCTAAAAAATGGGATAGAATTCCTTTTTCCGGGGGCATTCACTGAGAACTAGGTGATACAGTTATGTCGTTTGTTATCATTTTCGATGGATACGCAAATGTTCACCCCCGGTATATGGCATATTTGCGATCACGAAGGACAAACCAATTATGATGCGTGTGCGTGCACGCGTTATTACCTCAGCTATTTATCAAAGCTTTGATCTTTCTACACACCACTAACTTTCCTGAACTTGCATAAAGGAAGCAAGCCTTACTTTGCACATTATGATGACTTCGTTGCGCTCTCCTGATTCGCACTAAATCATCAGACTTGTTTAAAATTAAGCCGGCGAGACAGCAAATTTGAGACGCATGATTTTGGCCGTTTTATCTCATTATCCCTTTACTTGAAATAAACCAACGGTTTTAAAATCTCACATGTTATGAACTCTTGACACAGAACACTCCTGCAGACGGTACACACGCGCGTGTCACTTTTACTGGGACACAAAAGACCGATTCAAATAAAGTAAACAAGGGTGTGTCACTCACTTGGTGGGCGACGTTGGCAAGCAGGACGCGGTAGACTGCATCATTCTGAGTGAATCGTCGGCTGGTGTTGTTTTTGCTTTGGTCGGAAAATGGAATATGAATGGAACTGAGGGTTAATAAGTCTGTCCAAATGGGAAAAGCTATATTCCGTGGAAAAATTGCTTGTGTCTCATTGATTATTAAGGGTTTGCGAATGAGATGGGAATACATTGGGTTAAGCATCGTTTGCCCATAGTAAAGACTGCACTATAGAGGATCTGCCTGGGCGAGTCTTGGAAATAATATTGAAATCGCATAACCAAGAATAAAGTAAGGTCGAGAGGCACTGGACAATCAAACCGTCAAACTAGTAAACCAGCCTCGGCTAACCGCGCTAGACAACGACACTTCAGTTGCCTCAGACCGCCTGCTGACTGCTGTCGTGAGACAAGTCTCGAAATAATATATAGACCGCGGTACTTTACTAATATATTGGTAGTCACAGTGGTACTAGATGCAGTTGTAATTCTCAGCCCACATGAATTCTCGGAGTTGTAAGGGGAGTGCTTGGTCAATGCTTGAAATCCACTTCAAAAAGTTCCATAGCGATATCAGAAGTCAGGGTAAGCCAACATATTTTCGATAATTCACCTTCAGATTTTTACACTTATATGCAACTCAAAGTGTGTGGACAGATATTACAAGTCGTTACCCATCGAGAGAATTAATGGGCCAGTGACAGTGGCTGCCACCTAGGTTATGACAACTGAATGCACTTGACCTCGCGAGTTAGAGTTCACCAGCCGTTTGGGCCAGGGTATTGCCAATCCTCGAGTGAACTTCTTCTGAGTACATTGCTCCAGTTCATACGGTCGGATGGCAATTGCCTGAATGACTTCTTATATCCGCCTACGGAGGTCATTTGGTTTGTTGCTTTGGGCTTAAGAGATAACTTTGAGAGTCAGCTGACCTGGTGGTGGTGATCTGGGCGGCCAATTTTTCAATAGCCCCACATCTCGCTTACATCAATGCTAATCACGATGTGCATTCTACAGCCAACCTTTGACTTGACCAAAGGCCAGAAATCTCGGTATCCTAGAGGTAGACTTCTTACCGCGTCGAGGGAAAACATGCCACGGTGAGGCCCCCGAAGTTATAATAATCATCCGGCATCTTTCTATACGATCTCCGTGCGACCACCCAACATGTACAAACAACAATAAATCGGTTCTGGAGTGAAATTTAGTTTGTTTCGGTACATCAAAATGAAAGTAAAGCTTTGGACTACATAAATTGTGCACGATTTTGTACTCACAGTGTGAGGTTAGAGGTTTGTTTTTAGTTGGAAATCAGTCGGTTGAGTAAAGAATACTGGTGTGGTCTTGCAGCCGCAAGCATTACTTGGCACATTAGCCGATCCTCAGGTTTTCAGTGTTAAAATATTCAGCTAGCGCCTGGTTTAAAACAAATCTCGCGTTTGATAATTAGACACTTACACAGCAACTGACGAAGTTAAGTGGTGAATACCCTGAAGAATCCGCACTTGCGCGTTTCGTAAAACCATGTAAGTAGTATCAGCGTCGAGCAAACATTAACAAATTCCCTTTCGATTGTGTGCATTTGCATTACTAACAACCGTTTTCAACTGTACTAGAATCTGCCCTGAATGCTTTTCCCTTAAAATGTATTAATTCTTTAATTTGAGGCTCGCGAAATGTTCTCGCTGCGTGTTAATATGCAACGTGCTTAATGTGTCCGTATGTTAGTGCGCAACCAAACGTGTGTAGAATACACTCTACGCTACTGACATTCTTCCACCCAAACGTGTTTTATGTGGGTATTTTTCGAGACGCCTTTTCAGAATTCTGGCGGCATTTAATAGACCTATCACGCTGATCGCTGAGCAACGATATTGTACTTCGACCGATGTATCACAGAGCCCAAAACGATAATCGCTCTGCGCTAACGATGTCCCCCTAAGTTACCATTTCACTTATCTGTAGGCGTTGCAACTGGAAAATTGTTCGACCTATTCCGGATTTATTACACCTTATCCCAGTCAATTGCATCTGGACTACTGTTGTGATATCCTCCCTATGGGACTCAATTTCCTCAGTAAGGATTCGCAACTTACTTTCAAACCTTTCTGAAATCATGAGTTCTCGATCGGTTCCAAGTATTTTCCAAGATGTTAAATTGCATTCTGTTTATGCACACGCACATAGATGCGTACCGTTCGTTGTAACAAATCACAAGTCAGCCCATAGCAGTCGGACAATTATGCACTGTGATATACCAGCCTGAGGAGCAGGGCGATTACACTTTGGGATAGAGTTAGCAACAATTAGTTACACTGAAGCTAAGCTCACCTAATGTAGGGGACACCCACGGAGTCAGACTCAAATGGGCGATACTTGAGGCCTTGCCACACGGACTTCATCCATTCGCTCGTATAGGTACGCAATGTGTGCGCGCGCGCTAGCATTGGACAATGGGGTGTAGCATCAGATGCTGGGACACGAACTGGTCCAAACCATAAAGCCTGGGACTTGTAGGAAACGCGAAGTCTGCACGGTTCCAAAGTCAAGTCGAACAGACGTGGGAGTGAACATGTACGGGGTCAACAGAGAATTAACTAGTCGGCGCGATCAATCCCATTGTGAATGAAGTTATAGCGGTCTCACGAAAAGGGCTTGAGCTTGCAAACGAGATGTCCGTTTGAGGCGATGGGAAAGGTAAAACACAGAGGACCAGAGGGATAAGGTTAGCTTGGCAGTCCAAACTACTGTGCAAGAGGCCGATTGGTTAACACTAGGTCCCGCCGCAGGCTATTTCGAAATCGGTGCAAGTTACCGTTTGGTCTTGGAATCAAGTTGTCAATGACATAAAGAAGGGGACAATATCTAGCTTTACAGAATGTCTACAATGTAGTCAACCTAATATTTTCCTTGATTCGAGTAAATACCGCATCGGTGACGCTTCCTCAGGTATATTTGTACATATCCCCCCATACGAACCACATAGATCAAACCTGATCGATATAGACAGGAAACCTTCACAGTCTAATGACATATTCAGTAACATAAGGCTGCATAGGGCATCTGGCAGGTGTTTGATTGCATAATCTTAAATTCCTTTCAGATGAGATGTTAGATCGTCAGCTTTTTCACTTTTCCCCATTCTGCAATTACACACACATCGAAACCGCTAGCGTACCTTCACTATTTCGTTGAAAACAGGATTACATTACGCATAACTGGTCTCATGGGAGTAGGAGTGGTATCAACTTGGGGCCTATCGTTCAGCCGGTGGTTAAATGCATGTCGATCTATGTTAGGGGGAAGATGTAGAGCAATAGATCCGAGTGATACTGTAGTGTTGAGGCTACTTTTGGCTAGATTGTGCTGCTGTTGAGGGACGCGGGGCTTCTAATATGGAGCCCTGTTCTACATGTCTGACAGCTGGGCGAGAAAGCTGATTGCCGACGCGCGCGTGTTCGTCCTAAATCGTGCTCGGGACAGACCCTGCGAGCGTGTTGCCAGGGCCCAGCCGAAAGCTGATGAAATCGCGCATCAGACATCATGCGTGTTGCCAGGGTCTCACTGGAACTTGATGAAACCGCGCGTCAGGCATCACGTACGTTGCCATGCCCCGAGTAGGTGGATGAAGACTGCGTGCCCGAGTAAGACGCTGAACTGGCCGGACGGAGCGGCCAATCAAGTGTGGAGCGTGGGCTTACAGCCAAATCCGCCAGGCGATGTTTAGAGGATTGGTGAGACCGAGATATAAATATGAGCGTTCTCGGTCCTAAAACAACTCTGGTCAGTTGAGTCTTCTTCTGTCTTCCTGTCGGGTTTGCCAATGCGTCATGCAGTGCAAGCGTAAGGGCGCAGGTTTTACCAGCAAGCGTGAGTCAACCGGTGGATTCTGAGTACAGCGTTATAAGAATGTCGTTCTGTTGGTTTAGTAGTTTTTCGTCTCTGAGGTCGGATAGTATCGGTTTACTTAGGCGTGGGCATTTAGTTGACCAAGGTGAAGGTCGGGTACCGGACAAAATTGTATCGCAGAGCGTACGGTGTCTTTTCAATGTATATAAGACTTCATTCTCGGAAATTCCGTTCGTGATATTGTGAGCGACTATCCATGATTTAGCTAGGGTTTCGTTCCTGGACGCACAAAACGTATCTTCCCAGGAGCGTATGATCGGCACTAAGGAGGGTGGATTTAAATTCCGTAGACGACGACGTGACTGGTCCGCTTCGAATACATTGAGTTGCACCGGATGGACTGTGGAATTTAAGAACTATTGGACAGCTATGCTCCTGGGACTTGTGGAGTCGTACCGCACTACAGTCAAACTCCATTAGTGTGTAGCCCCTTAGTAAGATGCGCTTCAGAGAGATCAATGGGTATCTCTTTGGGACATGGCAGACGACCGGATTTTTGCGACCTGATTATCCGTTAGTGTATTCCCAAGGCTATTGCATTAGGTTACTCGCATACCGTATGTGCACCGGGTGCGGATTAGAAGGCGTTTCCATTTGGTATGATAGTGATATCAAGTATTGTGCCAACGACTCGGAAGGGAAACGTTTAGCTTAAGCATGATCACCTCAGTCTGCACATCTGCTAGTTTACTATTCACCCCTGAAACCATCTCGGCCGTTTCGACACTATGTTGCTTTACACAGCTGGGTGATTTCGGCTTCTAAGATGCTACTTGCTACAGCACGGCGTGTTTGAATGACAATTTCCTGGTAGTATGAGGATGCTTGGGAGCAATAAGAGCAGGATTCGCTTCATTTTCGACAATGTTGCTAAAGTAAGCCGAGGTAACTGGCACCCGCAATGTTCTCGGTCAGTAAAAATAGCAGCAATTATAGTAGGAGATAAAAATCTTTTCTACCACTTCCTTTTCGGAATTTTTGGATATAACAAGCGTCATGTACAGTTAAGGTAACCGCATTAACCTATGAGAGCCAGCACGACACCAAACGCCTAACCGTTCATGGAGCATGGTAGTTTGCATTCACTAGTCTGCGCGCGATTGCAGGAGGTGGCACATTAATTTACTGGTCGCTTGCAAAATACGGACAC